CTAAGGTGTGATAGGGGTAGGCCCAAAGGCCACCTACGGGAATTGATTCTAGGCATAGGATTTGCTTGAGAATTTGATTATGAAGATAATTAGAGTTTGGACTCTAGGATGACATGGAAATGTAGTTGGGCCGAGCCCATGCCATGTAATATGATTAGCATGGAAACGTAGTTGGGCCGAGCCCTTGCCATGTATATGTGATCTCCGTGGAAACGTAGTTGGGCCGAGCCCTTGCCACGAAGTTATGGTTGTTATGGAAACGTAGTTGGGCCGAGCCCTTGCCATACAAATTTTGATATGTTATATTGAGTTAGAGGATTGTATAGAAATGTAGTTGGGCCGAGCCCATGCTATACAATTGGGGCTCGATGGGACCCCACGGGGTTATCGTGACTTGCGGTCACGGGGGAATGGAAATGATGAATTCTAAATGAATATGGGCTCACGGGCCGACTACTTGACTCTATATAAAGTAAGTACAGTTAAAAGAAAAAGGGGTAACCGAGGGTTATGGCCTATAATATAATAGTACCCTAAGTCGAGGGTCTTAGAAATTAAAACATCAATTATACTTAGTATAGTTGCTATTGTACTTGTCAAATATTTCCAAGTACTGACCTCCCCTTCACGGGGGAGGCCACCTCACAGTTTCAGGTAGAACTTGAAGGTTGCTGCCACCGCCCGTCGCTTCGGGAAGATCAAAGGGAGAAGACGTGGTTCGTGCTTCTTCCGTTTCTGTTTTGAAACAACTTAAATAATGCTCATGGATATTATCTTTTTGAATAATTATTTGGGGGCTTGTACGCCCATGATTGCCAAGGTGTGGCATAAACACTTACGTTAAATGTTTCCGCTGCTATAAATGTTTATTTTACATTATGTTTGTTTATGGATGTACTATGTGTGAATGGTATTCAAGACGCCTTGTATAGTATGGATGAGTCGGACTGCGGTTGACTATTCGTACTGTACGGCGGGTTGTTAACGTGTCCGGGTAGGTCCGGGGCGTGACAAACGTAGTTGGGCCGCGCTCTTGCCATGAAATTGTTGGTTGTATGGAAACGTAGTTGGGCCGAGCCATTGCCTTGCTTTGCAAATCGGGGTTTGATGAAACCCTATGGGGTTGTCGTGGCTCGAGGTCACGGGGAATGGAAATGGTAATTTCTAAACGAATATGGGCCCACGGGCCATCTACTTGAGTTCATATAAAGTAAGTATATTTTCAACAGGGTAACCGAGGGTTATGCCCTATAATATAGTATCACCCTAGATTGAGGGTATTAGAAATTGAAACATTGATTATATTCAGTGGAGTTGTCATTGTACTTTTCAAATGCTTCAAAGTACTGACCTCCCCTTCACGGGGGAGGTCACCTCACAGTTTCAGGTAGAAGTTGAAGCTTGTTACCGACGCTCATTGCTTCGGGGATATCTAGGAGAGAAGACGTGGTTCATGCTTCCTCCGTTTCTATTTTGAAAACAATTATATAAATGCTAATGGATATTAATTTTCTGAATAATTATTTGGGGGCTTGTATGCCTAAGTTTGCCAAGTGTGGCTTGAACACTTGTAATATTGTTTCCGCTACTTTAATGAATATTTTACATTATGTTTGTTTATGGATGTACTACGTGTGAATGATATTACGATGGGTTATTGACGTATCCGGGTAGGTCCGGGGCGTTACACGAGAAACCGGTATTAGCAATCTTTAACACTAACTACCGCATGTCCAAAACAGAATAATATATTTAAATACTTATAGCTTTCTTTAGGAATAATCTCACCGCAATTTTGTAAATGTGTGATATAATCATATATTATTTGCAACTAGAAATTTAAGAAAAAGGAAATCATATCCTTAAAGTTTACAATACAAAAGCTAATCAGGTTGTCCATAAAAATGAGTAGCAAAAGAAAAAAAGAACAATAAAATATAAGAAAAAAATCAGTATCAAGTGGAGGACTTCAATTCAAGCCTTCAAGCAACATAAACCATCTTTTCGGTAACCGAATTTGTCTCCTCCACATCTACAAAAAAAAATATAATGACAAGTTACATATAGTTTGTCACAAACTAGAGAAGATCAAAACATTACTCAAAACATAATTTCAAGAGAGTAAACTTAGTCACTGCAAATCTACAACATAGTCAATTATATATCTAGTAACATAATGACATTAAATATGAGCTGCAACATAGTCATGTAAGTCACATCTGTATGCTTATTATATACTAATATAAGAAATATAATTTCACTCAAAGGTAAACAAAATTCAACTGTAAAAACTTTTTCCAATTAATAATAATAAATATTCTACCGCTAATGTTACCTTTTTCAACTCGGTGCAACTCCAATAATTTTTCTTCAACATCAACTTTTGTTTTTCTCGACTTCCCTCGAATCCAATCTTGATTGCAAATAAGAGTGTGTACCATCTTGTTACAAAAATGTAAACTCAAGCCTTAAAAGAAATAGATAGTTTTTAAGAAGGATATTATTTTATTTAGTAAATATTGAGGATTACCTTGGGTGTCAAAGAGCTTCTAAATTGATCAAGAGTACAACCTCTGGTGCTAAATGCAGATTCTGATGCCACTGTAGATACCTGGATAGCTAATATATCACGATCCATATGCGCAACAACAGGAAATCTTGGACTATTAAGCTTCCACCAAGTCAAAACATCTTTCTCCTCGTCATTTCCGCTTCCTTCATCTATGTACTGATCAAACTCACTTATTGAGTATTGTTGTGATCCACTGTTTTGCTTGACTCGGTCTTTAACCAGATTCATCAACATAGTTGAACCAATCGTTAAAGAAGTTGAACTTCAACCACTATTTACTCCACTCTCATCAATAACAACCGGATGAATACGCATGTTTGTTTGTTTGCTTGTGAATTGCCTTATCATCTGTTTAACTTTCAGATCATGTTTTCTATTCTTTCACATGGTATGTGGATCGTTGGCGGGGCTTGTCTCTTAATAATTGGATTGAGAATCATAATTTTTGAGCATTGAGTAAAATTTTGGTCAAATTTTAAACTTTGTACAAACACAAAACATCTCATGCACGTAATGGTTATCTAGTGAATTGTTGTTCAATATGTTTAAGATTGTGCAAAACAAGAGTGCTATGTATTTTTATTTTCCTTGACATGATTTTCTGACTTAGCACATTAGGAAATGATATAGGCCATTTTTCATAAACCCCATATACCTAGCCTTACCCATGTGATAAATATCCCTTGTTCACCCCTTTGAGCCATTTTTTAATAAGCGTTATACGCTTAACCCTATTTTTGTTATTTCTTTCATGAAAACCTGTTATATGTGACCCTTAGCCTAAAAAGCCAAACAGTTTCCATCCACCCTAGAGTGAACTTGCATAAATTTAATGATTTTAGAGAGTGTCATTCACCTTAAAGGGGCTTCATTTACACTTTTGTGATTACTTAGTTGTTAATATTCATTTATAGGGGTAGTTATTCTTGTTGTATCATCATTGTACATATTATTCTTGTAAATTCTTACGGTTAGAAGCATGAAAAAACCTTGAAAAAAATAGTAAAAAAAAGAGATGAAAAAAAGAAAGAAAAAATGAATAAAAAAAAGAGAAAAAAAGGAACTAAACAAGGCTATATCCATGTTATGCTTCTCTCTTTTGTATATTTTTCTTGTACATTAAATTACTCATTTTGTTACTACCCCTACCTGTTGAAAATAACAAGTGTTGTATAGATTATTGCCAACAGCTCCTACTCATTACTTAGTACATCTCTAAATATGTTAAATTTATGTCAAGTTCATTTCTTTTGTTTCCTCATTAATTCCCTTTGTTCATAAGCCATTTCCCACAGACCCCATTATAACCCAATGAGAAAAGTCCTAATTGATCTTAATTGTGTGTTTGTCTGAAATAAGTTGATAGGAAAATCTTATTTTGCACAATCTTGCATGGTTGAACAAACGAAGCTAGATACCATTTGCACACCACACACTTTGTGCTTGTTAGAGTTGAGATTTGACCAAAACGTTTCAGATGATATGCAAAATATTTTTATGATTCTCACTACTCTTATTTTGTGACAAGTCAAGGAAATTTGATTGATCAGGTGGAGTGAAAGGAAAATGTGCATGATTTGAGGGTTATACATGTGATTTGGCAAATTCATTTTTGCTTGCTTGCTTGTGTGAAATGTAAATATTTTTGCTTGAGACAAGCAAAATCTTAAGTATGGGGGAGTTGATGTACTCCTAATTTACCATATTTATGATCTTGTTTTGTCACACTTTTAATATTTTATTTCTCATTTTTTAAATAAAAAGGATTGATTTTTATCATCTTGGACATTTTAAGGTATTGCACTTGTTCTGGTATATTTTTGAGTTTCAGGATAATTCAAGACATATATTAATTTCTGAAAAGGAATAAATATTACTCCCGAATGAATATAGAAAAATCATCAAAGTGAAGCGTGTTCTTATTTTAAATCTGAAATATTTTATCATGAGACCCTGAATAAATTTTAGAATGAACCAGACTGTCTGCAATAAAATGTACCGGTTAAGTGTTGATCAGTAACTGAGCAAACAGTTAACCGGCCAAAAGAAGAAGCGGCGAAAAAAGAAAGACAAAGTGTGTCTGATTAGAAGAAAACACTATTCACTACACAGTGAATAAAATATCAACCGTAGAAAAAGGCTCCAACAAAGGATTAGATTGGATTATTCATCTTGCAACTTGGCTGCACTTAAAACCAAAACCTACTTCATCATATTCGGTCGGCAACAAGAGAACAGCAGCAACGAAGAAAAAATACAACACAACAGGAGTGGCACTATTCACACAACGAAATCAAGATCAAGGGCAATCGCATCTGATGTAATACTACAACAAAATATTATTTATCAGCATCTTAATTTCAGGATTTTTATGCTTTAGCCCCTCTCTTACTACTATATAAAGGACCATCCAAGAGCTGCAAAGAACACACCAATTCAGAGAGAAATCTCCTTCTTTTCTTTAGTTTTGTTCATAGTATTAGTATATAATAAAAGTGATTCTGTCAAGAACACTTTCTGTAAATTTCAGTTTGTAATTTCTATTTCTAGAATTTTAGTTCTTTAATTTCAACAATTAAGTTCATTTGGGGAGTATAAGCCAAAATCATTCTCAGCTTAAGGATTTCACTTTCTCTATTCTAGCCCATTATTTATGCCATCAGGTTCTTATTCAAATACTCATTTTATTTTATTTATTCTGTTAAATTAATTATGTCTATCATTAGTTTTACTTTTATTTCGTTTATTGTAATTATGTGTAACTAAATTAGTTTAGGTTTGGGCAAGATGTAATTTTTACTGTTAATGTTCATACGATAATAATTGGTTAAAACTATTACTTGGTATGTGTGTTAGCTAATGTTCGTACGATAATAATTGGTTAAAATCCTAACAAAATGATGTGTGTTAGCTACAAAACACATCTCCCATCATTCAGAAGACCTTACTATTCTCTTTCTATCTGAATGGTGATGTGGGTGATATTGAATTCTCTCCTAATATAGTCAATTACCTTGTCAAGTATAATGTCAGCATATGCTTCCTTCTTGACCTTGACATGGCAAGCTAAGAGCACTTCCGCCACAATTATTTCCCATATATGCAATTCATGAACTACAACAACCTCATCCATCTCACATAGACTCCTCTAAGCATTGTTGCATCAATCTCTCTCGGTGTGCTCTCCATCAAAACCTCAAGAACATTGCGTATCATCTTAATCGGTGTGCCCAACACAAGAGCCGAGAACATTAGAGTGTAGATGAGATCAAAAAAATTCCATTCTGGTTTGTACGATATGATTGCTTTACCTATCATTACACCGACACTTTGAATTGAATCGACCAGAACATGAAGATACACTCCCTGCACGTTTATATTCATCGCCTTCTCCCTTTTCACTCTTTTTAACTCTTCAGAACATGCCTTAAGTAAGGGCACAACATGGTCTGGTTCATGCTAGTGCCCGTGCTCGTGCCCATGGTCATGACAAAGCAAGACTGCCATGATTATATTAAGCACCAGCCCAAAATCAGAAACAACAAACATGAGGAAGCCTTTGACTTCACCTGTATCGTGGATTAATGGATCAATGGCTTCATAAACAAGGATTCGAGCAAGAAGCCATATCATTTGAATAGAAACCAGAGCCCCTAGTATCTCAATTCTGAAAAAACCATAGGACTAGCGTATGCCGTATGGTAGCTTCCCATCTAGGGATGGAATGGGACGGGTTGGCCCGGGCCCAGTACTATTTAGGCCAGACACGACTCGGCTCGGCCCGTTACTGTATAGGCCCTACCCAGCCCGGACCAGTGGCTATAAGGGGCGCGCTTCAGGCTCGATTTTTGGGCCTGGCCCGGTCTAGACCCAACTGCACTATTTTTTTAATTGAATGTCCAGTCCCGTTCTGAAGCCCGACCCGATCCTGTACTTTTTGGGTCCGACCCAAACCTGGTCCCGGTACAAACCCGAGCTAGTACCGAGCCTGAAATCCTTAAGCCTGAAGCCCACCCAATCCCGTCTCAAAGCCCAGACCGGTCCCATCTGAGAGCCACATATGTCAATATTGAGAGTGTTTGCTTTGATGCCTCCGATGACTTCCATAGTCATAAAGATGCAAAGAACAACAATGATCCCTGTGATTTGTACATCCATCTCATGGTTGAACTGTTATCTACCGCTGTGAAGTAATCGAAGAGGAATCCGGTTATGCAACATACGCAGACAACTAAAGGTGAAGCGTGGATTCTCGTATTACTCCTATGATTTATCCACTATTTGTCAAAACACAATCTTAAAACTCGAGAAGTATAAATGCAAAGAATATGCTATTGCAAATCCCACAAATGGCATGGATGTCAAAATCAAATAACACAAGTTACAATCAGATTTGCTGAAAAACATTGTCCAGATTTCATCATCCTCGCATGAAATCTAGAAGGTGATCTTGTCAAACTTCATCAGATTTGCTACAATGGTGAAGGTGATAAAATAATTTTCAATCAGATTACTAAGTCTGAAGAAGGTGATCTTGACAAAATCAATAATTGTACGTCTAGACTAGATGTCAAATAACACAAGTTTGACGAAGTTTGACAATATCACCTTCTTGCCGATTGCTACGAAATACGTAGAATGAATTTTGTCAAACTTAGAGCGATGATAGATTATATTACGTAAAAGATTGAGTGCATTAAATTCAATCAGGCGTCAATTTGATAATTTTAATCGGAATCCCCAAAAAAAGCAAACGGACATAAAATGCAATATCTCACTACAGGCAGTCAGTCCAAAGCAAACCATTCATGAAACATATATCCTGAAGAAGGAAGAAGAAGCATTTAGTAGAAAACTATGTTTCCTTTGAAGGTCCTTTCTTCGCAGCTTCTGCAGCTGCTTTTTCTGCTTCAATCTCAGAAACAACGGCATCAATTTCAGCTTCCTCAAGTTGCCGAAGCCCATGCTCTTTTGTCATCACAGCAACTTCTATGTTCTTTCCACCACTCTCCACAACCTTCATGCAAAAGATGAAACACAATGTAAAGCCATATGTCGACCACATAATCAGAATAAGGCTCCATTTGGTATACCACTGTCGACCCAAAAATGAATGCCATTAAACACTTTTTCTTCAAAGTTCAGGGGATCAAACCATTTCAGCCAAACAACTGTTACCAAATGGACCTCAAGAGCCCATTAGGTGACACTGAAATTGGTTGAATGACTTGAATCTGCTTAGATTGCCAAAGTTGTGGCTGAATTGAAAAATACGTATATAAAAAATATAGTTAATAAATAAAGAGAAAACGTGTATGGAAAAGCGAAAACTGTTCTGCAAATCCAATTTCAGCCAAGAAAATTAGCTCCTACCCCACTCATTTTCATATCCACCAACTTAGTGCATGGAATATAAAATTAGTGTTTGGTAAAACATATTGGCCGATAAGCTAAATAACAAGGTTACCAAGTGGGTACTATTTAGAGCTTTCACCTTAATTTTTGGATGTAATGGAATTACAGTTTTTTTTTGAAAACTCACATTAGACCATTTCAGCCAGATAATCCTTAAGAGCTTGTTTACTGAGACTGAAATAGGTTGAATGACTTGAATCTACATAGATTTCTAAAGTTCTGGCTCATTTATATAGAATATGTATTTTAAAACGTAGTCAACAATAAAGAAAAAAAGTATTTGGAAAAACTATAAATTGTCCTTTTAAGCGAATTTCAGCCAAGAAAATTACCTCCGACCTCACTTATTTTCATATCAACCAATTTAGTGTGTGGAGTATAAAATAAGTGTCAGGTATATATTGGCTGATAAGCCAAATAACAAGGTCACCGAACGGGTACTAACCAGAGCATTCAACTAAATATTTGGTTGTAATGGAAATTATAGAGTTCTTTTCTGTTTTAGAAAAAGTTACATAAGGCCACTTAAGAGAGATAACCCTTACCAAATGGTCCCTAATACTGCTAAATTCCTAATCAATAATACTGTTGCATAAATAAGATGCTTGAAAGCATGGCGACTTACTTCAAGCAAGGCACGGATAGCTAACTTTACAGTTTCTTGACCAGAGGTTTCCTTGTAGTTCTTCTCCAGGAACTCCCTGATGGAGTTGGAGTTTCTCCCAGTGGCATTGGCCTTCCATGCTGAGAAAGTTCCGGATGGATCTGTCTGATAAAGAGAAGGTACACCAGTGTATGGATCAAATCCAATTATCAAGGTTGAAAGCCCAAACGGTCTCACACCACCACTTTGAGTGTACTTTTGCTGAAGACCAGCAATGTAACGCGTGATGTACTCCACTGTAACAGGATCTTCCACTGTGAGCCTATGACTCTGACACTCGATGCGTGCTCTATTTACAAGGACACGGGCATCTGCTTTCAGTCCTGCACATGCCAATGCGATGTGATTGTCTAGACTTACGATCTTTCTCACAGACCTGAAGAGAAAAGCAACCATATAAGTGAAACAGCAGATACAGAGTATTTCTTAAGACAAGCCATGATAACAGCAACATGCAAACGGAAAATGTGGCAATACATTTTTTATTTTGAAAAGCCATGATGATTGCTTACTCTTAGCAGAAGTGAAGTCCGGAGTATATTCTAAGGAAATTGACTTCCTGATTATTGCCTATTCCTAGTAGATGCTTGACATAGATCTTATGGAATATTACACCCCTTTTAAGAATTAACTTGTTGAACTTTCCAATCATGTGATATAGCTAGTACAACATCATATATACCTCGGCAGTTGAAAGTTCGAAAGTAAAACATCCTATTAATTGCTGTAGTGTTGTACATCTACATCCTAAGCAAGGTGAGAGATAAACCCAGTCTTGTCATTTACACTCCCTTGGGTAGTCTCAACCAATAACTCTAAGCTAAGTGAGGAGAGCTTCAGTATAGCTACTTGCTGGAAAATAGAGCAACATTTGCTCCTTGGTCAATTACTCAATTGCACATCTCTACCACAACAACCTACCTGATTTTACTTCATGATGCTGGCGATAGCAGAATGAATAAAACGTGCACAACTAATTTCATAACATTTTCAAATTTATATATACTTTCACAGCTCTAAAATTGAAATTTTAAGCTAAATTACATTTGAAATGCTCTGACTGTTCGTTGCTAGTAGCAGAACTAAATGGAAATTACTACGAACCTAGTTTTCTACCTTTACAGGAGAATACTTGTGAAGCCGAAAACCACGGATCAAGAAACAGATCAACCATAGGTATGCGCGTTGGTGTAAATATACAAAAATTATCAATTCCGGATCGATCTACCTGGAATCCTGTAGTTTGGGAGTGGACTTCTTCTCGACCCCGAGGACGACAGTGTCCTTACCTCGGACGCCAACGGCTGCGTTACCCTTTCGCACAGCTTCGAGAGCGTACTCCACCTGGAAAAGATGGCCGTCGGGCGAGAAAACCGTGATAGCTCTATCGTATCTAGCCATTTATGCTATCTTTACAGGAAGTTTAACAGGAGCCCTCGTCGATTGAGAGTGTTTCAGCTTTATTTTACCTTCCCCTCCTCTTAAGTAAATTGAAGTGCCAATAAGGTGTGATCCCCTCTCTTGAGCGTCAAGCCAAGTCTTTCTCCTCTTTCAAATTTGATCAAGTGTATTGTTTTTTAAAAGGGAAAATAATTTAAATATAATTATCCTGAACTTTATATAAAAATTTATCTTAGCGTGATGATCATATGTTTTTACAAATGTAAATTTATATTTTTTAGTAAATAATTTTTACTATTCTAAGCATTTTTAGGCATTATAAACTTATCTGTAAATGTTATTGAAGCTTAGAGAATAAATTGATCCTTATAAGTGCTCAAAGTATTTTAAATTTTATATTTAAACACTATAAATTTACATTTGTTAAAAAAACATATTATGACGGTGCTACGATAAGTTTTATAAATTTGGGTTTTTACTTCACACCCCTTATAAGTTTGAGATATTTAAATTATTTTTCTTTTTTAAAAATAATAATGGTACCTAACCCGTAGGGCGTGGCTCACCAAAACTTATGTAGCACACTCAACACTTGACCACACCTTTTAAGAAAATAAATTCTCATATTTCCTAAAATTTTGACTAACTTTATTCCTAAAAATATATTCAAAATCCTCATGTAATCAGGATTACTAATTCTAACTGCCATCAAATATGCAATATAAATATTTGTAACACGATTTAGTTGTCTTATTACGTTTTTACAATCTTCTTATACTATGGGAGATGAATATGAAGATTGTCTAGAAAATTGTATTCTTGACTTTCACACTTACGAGGTATTTATTTATCTCCAATCATAATAATCACTTCATCTTTCTCAATATTTGTATCTCAGTTCTTATTTTTTATCTATTTCATTAAGTTTGCCGCATACAATTTTCTATAATATTTGGGCTGTCTTATATACTTTTCATTCATCTTTGTATTGAATATTGTATTTATTCTATTAATGTATAATTATAATTGACAATATTTAGAATGTTTTTAATTGATCTATTTTCGATCCCAGATCAGACTAGAGTAGACATAAACAGACTAGATCATCGGTAGTTGTATAACACATATAGAACATACATCTAACATACCAGACCATTTCAGACTAGAATAGATTAAACATAAACGTACCAAATCAGGTAAGATCATACCAGATTAGACACACTACTTCTGCATCGAATTAAGCACTTTAGAGAATGGCGTAATGCTATAAGAAGATCCGTATGATTTTATCGGTCGATAGATTTATAGCTTATATATCATAAAACATAAATGTTTTGTTTTTAACTTTGTGCAATTCTATATGAGATCATATATTTTTGAACACGTAACATTTTTAATACTAGTAAACTAATTATCTTCATTTTTATTTCTTTGACTAGTTTCAAAGGAGGAGGATCACGCCTTTTAAAACTCGATCAACACCATCTTGATTTCACATTAAGGTCATATATGTTATATCAATATATCTAGAGCACACATGTGAATGATATTTAGAATATTTTTAATTGAACTGATTTCCATTTAGATAGATGTAAACCAATATGTCAAATGAGACTAGGCTACATTTAAAGCACAATAAATGCACATTTATCGGTCGTTCTTCGGACCAAATTTAAACAGATCTGATGATAATATATGATGGATAGTCTACCCGGGGGTATATATCCGAAGGGTTATTGCGGGGAATAACTTAGAGAGAAGTCAGAGTAAGCAAGTAAATGTAGAGAGAGAGTGTATTTAGTATGAATGCCGTTTTCAGCGCGGTTACAAATGGGGAAATGGGGTGCTATTTATAGTAGCAATAAATGCCGGACAGGGACCCGTGTCAAGCGCTCATTGGCCGAGGGGTCACCTCAACTGGTTGGCGCTGGCAGCCGCATGTGGCCGCATTTAATGCGGCTGTTGGATGGGACGTCTGTACACGGTACGGTGATCTGTACGCATGTGAGGCGGATATCTTGTCGAGTGAGATGCCTTCGGCTATAGAGCAGTAGCTGAGGGGCCCTCCAACCGATGGCACCCTGGTGCCGAGGGCTATTGTTTTCGCCGTTTTCTCCCAGTTTCTTAGTTTGCTTGAGAAACCCGTTCTGTGAGAGTTTAGAGCCTTCGGCCAGGGGGCCGAAGGCACCCCTGGCGCGTAGTGTGGGCTGCTTGGTACTCTGGGCGCTGTGATTTGGGCCTGTTGGGCCTTCTGGGCCTGTTGGGCCTTCGCTGGAGTAGTAGGAGTCTGTGGGCCGGGGGGTTCCTGGGCCATATACTCCATCAGGAGTCCCTCACTCCTTTTGCCGAAAGGTACTTGAGGGAAAAGGAGTAATTTGTGCTTGCCCTTTGATGTTGTCCCGTCGTGATCTCTGAAGTTGGTGAGGAGTTGTTTCTTTTATGTCCCTGCCGAAGGCAGTCCCTCAGTTACCCACATGTCGGGACTTGAGGGCTTGCCTTGTCGTTCGTTGGAATTTCACTAATTTTGTAATTTCCCGAGGGGGTCCTCCAGTCCCCCACTCCTTGAGGCACTTGTAAAGTGGTGAAAAGGAGTAGAGTAGTTACGTTGCTGTTGTGGGCCGAAGGCTGACGTTTTTCGTTTCATTTTGGGGGGATGCCTCGTTAAAAACCTCATTAGGAAAAACCCTGTGGGAAAAAATCCTAATGAGGGAAAAAGAGTGCACCGAATTCCCCCAATGATGAATCGAAAATGTCAAACCTTGGTAAAAAATGGAGAATGACGGGAATGCCGAAGGCTCTCTCTTCTGAGGGCTCCTGTGTTGATTAGCCGAAGGCTTGCTGTTGACGTCCTGGTGGCGCTGAAGGGGAGCCCCTCAATTCGGGGATCGAGGGCCTGCTGGATGAGGGCGGCAATGGAGTTGTTACCGGGGGTCCACTGTTTGTTGATTAGTTGGTGATGAAGATACCCGAGGGCTCCCATTACCTGTGTGCCATGGGTCATCCGTCAATGAGGCAACTCCCCGGGGGCTACCCGGTTTTGCAGTGCTGAGGGGGAATCCCCGAGGGGTGCCCTGATATGAAGCCTTGGGTCTCTGCAGGAGTGATCCGAAGGCGTCTGTTATGTGCTGTGTGGGGCACAACCCGGGGGCGCTTCTGGGTAAGTGTACCCGGAGGCTATCCTTGATGAAGTGGAGTGAAGTAGAAAACCCGGGGGCTTCCAGAATATAGCCGTTGGGAATAAAGCCGTTGGAATATGTAACGTCAGGATATAGCCGTTGGGGGGGGCACACGTGGCGTGTGATGACTGGCTGTCCGTGGGCGGCATCGCTGGTTGGGTGAGGACGCGGTGTGTAATGATGGCGGTCCATCCGGAGGCCCGGAATTCAGGCCCAAGCCCGGATTCCATCGCCTATAAATACCCCAAGGCCAGAGCCATTTCCTCTTGTGCGATCAGTTGTCTTAGCGAAGCTCTGCCAAAAATTCTAGTGAGAGAAACTCAAGCCTTCGGTCCTAACTCAGCTTTCGAGGTCAGTGCTCCCTGCCTTTCTCCTTCTAGTATAGCTGTGCATTGTGCCCTCGGGTTAGGAGATAGAATTCACTAGAAACCTTAGTTCCCCCGAACCCTCGAGCTAGAGTTAGAATGTCGTCCCAGAGTGACTCTCAGGACATCTCGAGGACGCCCTCGATGGAGGACGAAGGCATCTCCGACGTGGAGTCCAGCAGCGGTCAGCCCTCGGATGGTGGTGATGCAGCCCTCGCCACTGAGGTGCAGAAGGATCTGATGGCCGAGGCCGAGGCGGAGGAATTCGAGCGAACTGCCGAGGATGAAGAGTTGGCCCTCGCCGTCCAAGTTGCTGAAGAGGAGGAGGAAAAGGAGAGGGCGAAGGTCACTATGGCCGTCCTTCCCCCTCGGGGTGCTGGTGAGGCCTGTACTTCCCAGCCGCTGAATGCAGTTCCCATCCGGGTGGCCCCCGGGAAGAAGAAGGCCAAGACAGCTGCCCCCAAGAAGAAGGTTATTGCTGCTGATCAGGGGAAACCCGTAGATATGCCGGAGGGGTATTCCTGGCTCAACACGGCTACCTTGGAGATGAAGTCGAAGGCGGACAGGGCGGACCTTTACGTGACGCAGCTACATGTAGGGCCCTCGGCCGTGGTGGTCGAGCCGGGAGTTGACGACGTGCTCTCTCGGGCGCCTGAGGGGTGTATTGCAGTACACGTACTGTCGGTCTCCATGGGCCTTCGGTTCCCTCTGCACCCCTTCCTCCGGGAGTACCTGAGGTTTGTTGGCTTGGTACCCTGCCAGCTGACACCTGATAGCCACTCCTACGTGGCGGGTTTTTTAAACCTCTGTAGGGACCGAGGGGTGACCCCCAGCCTGGACTTGTTCTTCCAGAGCTTCAACCTCTGTCGAGGGGGTCACGCGAATGCCGAGGGCTTCGCCAACCTGCAGCAGGTGGACAGGTGGAAGCTGTTTACGGAGGCGCCTTCGTCCAATAAGGGCTGGAAGGAGCGCTGGTGCTATGTCAGGGTTGCTGAGAACCCATTCCCGGCGGAACTTCGGGATCGCTTCCGTCGGCATCCGAAGGTTGGAAGCGCCGCCTTCGAAAAAGATGGCCTGGTGATAGCCAAAATCCCGGAGGGTCGCACAAAGCAGGTCTCCATCAAAGACTACACTGCCGACAAGGGACTCTACGCCCTCGGCTTTCGGAGATACCGATTCATTGGGGAAGCGGACGAGAAGTACCCCATTTTTGCTGAGGCCTTCGGGGGAGCAGGAGGTAGTCTACGAGGTCCCTCGGTTTTCATATCTTAGCACATAGCTTATTTTGTTCGTGTTTTTTTTATTCCTTGTGCCTTCGGTCAGTAACCCCTCGGTTTTAACCCCATACTTTTTTTGCAGGTGTCCCAGTGAAAATGATGAACGTCAGAGGCCTTGCAGACCTGAAGAAGAAAAAACCCTCCAAGGGCCCGATTGGGACGGACGCCGGTGTCCCAAAACCTGCCGGTGACTTCTTCAAAAAACCGGAGGGGCCGTCGGTGGGCCCAAGTGCTGATGCTGCCGCTGCCGCCAAAAGGAAGGGCTCGGGCAGAGATCTCGAGGGCAAGAAGCCCAAGACTGGGGATGCCGGGAAGAAAGTCCCCCCGGTGATCATTGTTGATGAAGGCCCTGCCTCCGGGGCGAATGAGGACATGCAGGTGGCGAAAGTGCCGTCGGGAGTTCAGGGGCCATCTTCCGAGGTCCTCATGGTTTCCCTCCCGGCTGGTACGGCCGTGATGAACGGTGCGGCCGACCCGAGGGCGCTTCTGAGAGGCATCACCCTCGAGATTGACAGAGTAGCCCTCGGGGCTGATGAAGACGAAGCCCTCGAGGACAGGATCCTCCGGTCTTCCCTCACAGTAAGTCTTTGATGTTTATATCTTTCTTCTTTACTTTGAGCTAAGAAACCATGTTTGGCCCCGCTAACCCCTTTGTTTTTGTAGACCTGCATTGCCCTCGGGGAGCAAGCCCGGCGGCTAGAGGAGTGGCGCCTTCGCAAGGCCGAGCAGGAGGCTAAGATGCGGGAGCTCATCCGCCAGAATGCTGACGCTGTTCGGCAGATGGCTATGCTGGAGGAGAGCCTTCGGCAGATGACCCTGCGGGCGGAGGCCGCAGATCGGGGCAGGGCAGAGGCTGAGAGGTCCGCAGCTGAGCCCTTGGAGAGAGCTGTCAAGGAGGCTGAGGCCGCGAAGGTGGAAGCCGTCGAGAGAGCCCGAGGGGACGCAATCTCGGGGTTCTTGGCAGGGGGGTGGCGGTCCGAGGAGCACAAGAAATGGCTGTCCTCGGTCGTCGAGTCCTCGGTTGACGAGTGGTGTGATGGGCCTGGCGTGGAGTGGGTTTCCCGAAAGGGTAAACAATACTATGATGGGGGCGAGTTTTTCACTCAAGCCCTCATCTACCGGAGGATGGCTCGCCACTTGAAGATCGAGCAAAAGAACTTTGACCCGGCAGCATACGGGCTCCCCCCTGCAGCCAGACATCCGTGTTCCTCTCCCCCCCGATGTCGAGAGGCCAGACCTGGAGGACTCTGAGCTTATGAAGGAAGCCGAGGGTGACGAACCTGAGGCCGACACAAAAGTTACCTCGAAGCCATCGGGGGAGGCGGCCCCCGGGAATGACATTGTTGATATGTAACATGCATTATGTAAACATGTATTTGTAATGGTGACATTATTCATCCTTCGGCTTCGGCCTGCTTGTAACATTTACTCGTAATTACATTTGCCCTCTCTTGTTGATGATTGAATGATTGCCTTCGGGCTCTGTATATATGACTTGTTTTCTCCAATTCCTCTCTTCTTGAATGTATGCCTCTGTTTTCCTTGAGTGTATGCCTTCGGTATTTTTGAATGTATGTTTAGGACTTAGAATATTTTATGATTGTAGCTTGCCCCTGGAAGCCTTCGGTAGTTGGGCACCCTCTACTGGATATGCACCCGAGGGTTCAGTAGGAATTAGGACTTAGAAGATTTTTCTAAGTGTAGCACACCTTAGGGCCTTCGGGTGTTTGCAGTAACCCAATTCCTAGGACTTAGAAAAATTTCTAAGTGTAGATTTTCCCCTGGGGGCCTTCGGGAGATGGCATCCGTTCCTGATGTGTGAATATTGGACCGAGGGCCCAATGTACAGGACTTAGAAAATTTTTGCAAGTGTAGTATGTCACGTAGCCTTCGGCTACTGTGGAGCCCCAACTGAAATATTGAATAGGCCGGGGGCCAATTCTTTAGGACTTAGAAAATTTTCTTGAGTGTTGATCCCTCGTGTACTGTAGCCTTCGATTGATAGGTAGCCTTCGGCTGTTGGGTCCCTTTATGAGTTGAGGGTGAAATATGTAGGACTTAGAAAGATTTCTAAGTGCAGTTTTTCCCTTGGTAGCCTTCGGGAGATGGCATCCCTTCTTGATGTATGAGTAGTTGACCGGGGGAAAAACATGTAGGACTTAGAAAATATTCTAAGTGTAGATTTTCCCTTGGGAGCCTTCGGGTGATAGGTGCCCTCCTTGATGCATGAGTAGTTGACCGGGGGAAAACCATGTAGGACTTAGAAAATATTCTAAGTGTAGATTTTCCCTTGGGAGCCTTCGGGTGATAGGTGCCCTCCTTGATGCATGAGTAGTTGACCAGGGGAAAACCATGTAGGACTTAGAAAATATTCTAAGTGTAGATTTTCCCTTGGGAGCCTTCGGGTGATAGGTGCCCTCTGACTCCACATCACTTTGCGAGATGCCCGGGGGCTGCTCATTCAGGACTTAGAATTTTTTCTAAGCATAAATTGATGTTGAATCCTGTTGTTGTGAAGAAAGCCAATGAGGAGTGTGTGCCCTCGGCATACACTTTAAAAGATGTAGAATTTGACCCTTGTCATGGGGAAAAGGCCCTCGGTACTAGTGCGTCACAGATGTCTTCGGTATATGTTTGAAGGTACCGTCTTAGTGTACTTTGGATAGTCCAGTTCCTTTGTATTGTTGAAGCCTTCGGTGTTTGTGTGACCGGAGGTGACCAGGCAGTGGACTTAGCCGTTTCCTGATGATATTTGTTTGAGTGGTATCCTTCGGGAAATAGGAGCCTTCAATTACCGGAGGTGTCCCCGTGGGGAGCCCTCGGCTTGTTGTGATCTGTTGGAGTGTACTATTTGATTTCTCGCTGAGTCTACTCCCCTTCACCCCCCCCCCCCCTTTTTTTTTGGTTGGTGGTGAAGGGAAGGCATCAGGAAACTTGGTTTCTTGGTAAGGCTGGGCCTATTAGGAGACCATCAGAATACACCAATGGCTCTCCTCCCTCGGGTTAACCTTCCGAGTTCCGAGGGGATCGAGGGTCGTTTCCTGGGCACAAGATATGGTGGTCCGTAACCTGCCTCCCCTTGGGGGATGGCGCGGAAAGCGCCTCATTTTTGAAAGTCGTCCCCTCGGCGCTAGACATAGTCCGTGGCCTGCCAAACCCTTGGGGTGGTGGCGCGGGGAGCGTTTCGGTTTGGAAGTCGAATCCTGGGCATTTCTCATGCCTGTCATACCCTGGGGGTAGTGACGCGGATAGCGTTCCGTATTTGAAAGTCGAATCCTGGGCATTTCTCATGCCTGTCATACCCTGGGGGTAGTGACGCGGAAAGCGTTTCAAGGAAGGGTTTTCATTTGCACACTAGTTGCAAATGGCCGGGGGCACTACGTGCCGCCGGCACCGATGGTGGCGCCTTCGGTATATGCGTCCTCGTGGGGTACGGCTTTTAGAAACAACACTGGGTGTTAGTTTCGATGTGTAGCCCCCGGTACTTGGTACCGAGGGGTCTTCTGTAGGAACACTTGGTGTTCTCTTTTGTTGTAGTTGATGTAGGCGTCTACCCTCGGTACTTGGTACCGAAGGGTCTTCAAATGGAACACTTGGTGTTCCCCAACAGATGTTTGGAAGTTGATAGGAGAGCATATCCCTGGCACTGGGTGCCGAGGGGTCTTCTTTGGAACATTTGGTGTTTTTTCTTCGTTTCGATGTTTGATGATGGAGGTGTTCCCTCGGCACTGGGTGCCGAAGGGTATTCTGTAGGAACACTTGGTGTTCTCATCTTTTCTTTTTTGATGTTGAAGGTGGGGATGTACCCTCGGCACTGGGTGCCGAAGGGAAATGAAACACATGGCGTTCCTTGTTGTTGGTGATAGGAGTTCCCTCCCTCGGTACTTGGTACCGAGGGGTCTTGACTGAAAACACGTGGTGTTTTCACTGTTGTTGTAGGTGTTGATGGTGTCCTCCCTCGGTACTTGGTGCCGGAGGGGGTTCTTCTCGTGGTGAGGCCGGGGGCCTGTAGTCAGTATGAGGGCTTGATGTCTTGAATGTATCTTCATTCTTCGAAATTGGAGGCCTTGGGCCATAGGATAGTACATTCACTAGTTATGAGGGCTTGGCCGCTCTTACATTATTGATAAAATTTAACTAAATGGTGTACATTCCAATGCCTAGGGACTTCTTTCCCATTGGGGCGTTTGAGCTTGTAGGTCCCAGGTTTGATAATGGTTGCTATGATGTAGGGGCCTTCGAATTTTGGTGCCATTTTTCCTCCCTCGGTTGGTTGGCTGGCTTCCCTCCTCCGGAGGACATAGTCCCCCACTTGAAATTTTCGGGTGCGAACTTTGGCGTCGATGTAGCTTTTAACTTGCCTTCGGTAGTTTTCTGCCCGGATGAAGGCCTGCTCCCGGCGTTCTGAAACGAGGTGGAGGTCGAGGGCCATGTTGCTGTCGTTGACCTCGGGGTCATATTGGATCACCCTTCGGGTAGGAAGGGTGACTTCCGTAGGAGCTTTGGCTTCAAAACCGTAGCAGAGGGAGAAGGGTGTTTCACCTGTTGCTCGCCGAGGGGTGGTGCGTTAGGCCCAAAGGATGTTGTGGAGTTCTTTCACCCAGCCACCACCCTCGGCCTCCAGCTTCTTTTTGAGGCCCTCGAGCAAGGTCCGGTTGGCGTTCTCTACTTGCCCGTTGCCTTGAGGGTAGGCAACGGAGGAGAAGGTGTGTTTGATGCCCCATGCCTCCAGAAGGGCACAGAAGGGGGCTGCCTCAAATTGTGTCCCATTGTCGGAGATGATCTGCTGGGGGACGCCAAACCTTGTGAGGATGTTCTTGAGGACGAAGTGACGGCACTTCGCCTCTGTGATGCTGGCGAGGGGTTCAGCCTCCACCCACTTGGTAAAGTAGTCGACGGCCACAATGATGTATCTGTTGTTGGAGGTACCCCTCGGCAGAGGGCCCACAAGGTCTATCCCCCATCGAGAAAATGGGACATAGGTGCTGATGGGGGCATAGTTGACCGCTGGCCTGCCGGGAGCTTTCTGGAAATGTTGACATGCAGTGCACCTCCGGGCAAGGTCAGCACAATCCCTGGCCATGGTTGGCCAGAAGTAGCCTTGGAGAATGAGCCTTCGAGACATGGAGAAGGGTCCCTGGTGAGCTGAGCAAGTGCCACTGTGCACTTCCTCCATTGCGACCTCGGCTTCATCTGGATGAAGGCACCGAAGTAGCGTGCCATTGTAAGATCGTTTGTAGAGCCTTCCATCTTCGATGGTGTAGCTAGGAGCCCTCAGCTTTGCCAGTTTAGCGCGGGCCTCATTCTCGGGTAGCTGCCCTGTGGAGATGAAGGCGGTGATATCTGAGATCCAATCCTCTTGGCGTTGTCGTATGTTCATAACGGGGCTTGCGTGGATGCTTGAGAGGCTGAGTTCCTCAATTTTGGCAATTTTGGAGATGTGCTCGGGGGAGTCGGCCGAGAGCTTGGATAATATGTCGGCCTCGGAGTTCTGAGCCCTCGGTATTTGAGTGAGAGAGTGTGCCTCAAATACCTTAAGCAACTCCTTGGCCGCTTCCTTGTATTGTTTCATTCTTCCCTCCTTGGCCTCATATTCTTCGGAGATTTGGCCGACGACCAACTTGGAGTCGCATTTGATGTGGATCTGCCGAGCCCTCATGTTGGCAGCCAGCCGAAGGCCACATAGAAGGGCCTCATATTCGGCCTCGTTGTTGGAGACTTTGAAGGAAAAGCGGATTGCATAGTAAGCTCTGAAGCCCTCGGGAGTAATGAGGACTACCCCTCCCCCGCATGCTTTGGTCGCGGAGGAGCCGTCGGTGTAGAGGGTCCACCAGTCAACCGAGGTAGCCGAGGGCTCCCCGTCCGTGGCTGCCCTTGCGGTACACTCCGTCACAAAGTCCGCCAGGGCTTGGCCCTTGATGGCAGGCCTCGGGCGGATGTCAATGTTGTACTGGCTCAAGAAGATAGCCCATTTCACCATGCGGGAGGAGCTGGTGGGGCTCCTCATGAGGGCGCCGAGGGGTTGATGAGTGAGGACCTGAACCGGGTGAGCCTGAAAGTAGTGGCCCAACTTCTTGACGGTCCAAACGATGGCCAACACCGTTTTCTCCACAGGGGAGTACCTGAGTTCGGCCTCCCTCAGAGTCTTGCTAACGTAGAAGATGGCATGTTGGATGCCGTCTTCCTCCCGGATGAGCACAGAGCTGATGGCCGCCGGGCTGACCCCAAGGTAGAGATAGAGGGTCTCCCCTACCTTGGGTTTGGAGAGCACTGGGGGTGAAGATAGATACCGTTTGAGCTCATCGAAAGCCCCCTGGCATTCTGGAGTCCATAGAAAGCCAGCCGTCTTCCTCATGATCTGGAAGAAGGGTAGAGACTTCTCCGCTGATTTAGATAGAAAGCGGTTGAGGGCTGCCAGGCGGCCCGTCAACCGTTGAACTTCCTTCA